GGAAGGAAGGAAGGAAGGAAGGAAGGAAGGAAGGAAGGAAGGAAGGAAGGAAGGTTCTTTTTTGCTCCTCTTTCCTACTTATTCAGCTGTGATGCCCTCAGCATGGTTCTCCTTATGGAGATGTGGCTTTCAAAATGTTATGTTTACATCAGAAATTAAAACAGGGCATCTTAACAATGAAATGACACTTCTTCTATCATTTAGGTGAAATTTACTAGTGCAGTGAAGCTATCAGAAGGCGGGCCTGGAAGTGGCATGGAAAATGGACGTGAAGAAGAGGAGAATTTCTTCAAGCGTCTTGGTAAATGGCGCACCTGCCGAAGACATCCATCCAGGCTTCATCACACAGAAGAAAAAGATGGTTAGAAATCAGGGTTCTGTTTCTTCAGTCCTTTTTTTTATTTTTATCTTTTTCTTTGTTCCTCCATTTTTTTCTTTTTTGGGTTATCCTCTTTCTTTGATTCACCCTTTATCTTTAAAAATATGTTTTCTGGACCCATTTTGTTTTCTCTGGCTTTATATATTTTGTAGCTGCCACTTTCTTCTTTTGTTCTTATGTCATTTTGATTTTAATTCAATTCTAGCCAAGAAGGAAAAGCAAATATGGGCCAATGCATTTAGATAAGGTAAAATTGACCTTCTAAGAAATCAAACCCACCATTTGGAAAATATGTAATTTGGAAACAGATATCTGGGTTCAAACATATTATGCTAATATTTCACTTAGTCCCTTGATGTGAAATTTTGGATGTGCCCACCAGCTTTTATTCCCCATTATTGATCATCTACTATTTTCCATAAAGTTCAGCACTGATGAAATGGAAAACCCTGTACAAATGTGTTTTAATTATCTCTTTTCTTCTGTGTTTGCTTGTCTTGTGTCTTCATGCCATTTCTTAGAGAGATGCTGTCCTTCATTCTTAGCAAAATAATGAATGATATTGAGAACAATTATATGACAAACACAATTGATTACTTTGTTATTTTTAAGGAAAAAAAGTTCTTTCCTGTAAACAAGGTTAGGACTTAATGGCTTTTAAGTGTTTCAGATATGTGAGTTCCTTGTTACCAAACAAACAACCTTGCCTCTTGATATTTTCCTGTTTTTGCATTGAAAAAGAGACACAGCATCCCCTCTCAATGGATTTAGCTTTTTGTCTTTTTCACAGAACTTTACATGACCCGACATTACATATTGCATCATTAAACATGGAAGTGATGTTACTACCTCATTTAGCCATTGCTCCATCATAAAATGCCTTTCTATATAAAGAGGGGTGGGGTTTCAGATAAACACATATGACATATGATTATTGCTATCTCTTGCTATAGTAATAGAAATATTTGGGCTCTTTCTGACCACAGTTATTTCTGGGTGTCCTTCCATACAGGTACCCAGTAGAATAATTTACTTTTTTTTCACATTTGAACAGCAGAGCCTAATGCCATTATCAGCAACAGGTTTGAATGTCTTTGCAGTTTCAAAGAAAAATTTTAGGTGGGTATTAGGCAGGGAATGAATGCATGTTATAATTCATAATGTGATTACTTTGTTAAAGTCAAGCATGACTGTAGGATGTGGTATGACAGATCTCAACAACTAAACTGAAATTTCAATTTGAGATAATATTAATTGCAAATGGAATTATTTTTATTTCAACATCCAGTTTGTAAAACTGTACAAAATTTGTCAATTTTTAAAATGGAGCAGCTTATCCAAAAGTAATGGAAATACCATTTTGTTTGGCTTTTGGGTTCATTATGTGACCATAGGAGCCACTGGATAGTTTTAGTCCACAACTTAGCAGCACGCAGTGTAAAGATCTTACTGATGTGCCAAGGAGTAACTTAAATGTTAAAATAAAATGTAGAGGCAATACACATAATATACAAAAGTTCTTAGGTTAGGTTCAGTTCAGAATGGCAGAATATGAGTAACCTGAACTGCAGTCTTAATTATGGTGATGTAATTAATCTTACTCAAATGTCAGCTCATAGGTATTTATGGTACAGAAAACTGAAGTAAACCAAGCAACCACAGAAACAGGTTGTCCTATCACTCACTGAGTGAGTGACAGGTGGAACTCATAGAAATTGAACTGAAATTGAATTGAACAGGAGAAAAGAAAAGAGTGGCCAGAGAAAACGTATGGTCTGAGTAGTTCTGTCGCTGAGCTGTGAAGGGTGAAAAACTCATCTCCTGAATTACTGCCATTGTGGGTGATTGGTTGACTTCTTCCTTTGAGTAAGAGGCTGTAAGGGGAGTATAAGGCAGACTGATTCCAGGGAGTCAGCTCATTGAGGAAGTTAAGCTGGGAAGCAGTGGTGTCTGCAGGCTATGGCCAAAATTCAAGATGGCGGCCACAACAGTGCAATTAAAGCTCTGCCTTTTTGTGTGTGTATGGCAAAACAGGTGGAGCTTCCATTACAACTTTGTGGCTGCCATCTTGACTTTTTTGAGCCTACCCTGCAGACACCCTTGTTAAGGAGTTTACCTGGAGGAGTTTGAGGGGGAGTCTCTAACAAATTTTCTCCCAAATCAAGAGTCAACTTGAACTTGGCTAAGAAGGGAAGGGAAGGGAAGGGAAGGGAAGGGAAGGGAAGGGAAGGGAAGGGAAGGGAAGGGAAGGGAAGGGAAGGGAAGGGAAGGGAAGGGAAGGGAAGGGAAGGGAAGGGAAGGGAAGGGAAGGGAAGGGAAGGGAAGGGAAGGGAAGGGAAGGGAAGGGAAGGGAAGGGAAGGGAAGGGAAGGGAAGGGAAGGGAAGGGAAGGGAAGGGAAGGGAAGGGAAGGGAAGGGAAGGGAAGGGAAGGGAAGGGAAGGGAAGGGAAGGGAAGGGAAGGGAAGGGAAGGGAAGAAGGGAAGAAGGGAAGAAAGAAATTTCTAATAGTACTCTAAGTGAAGATGAATGGGCAGGTTTGGAGCAGCAGGTAGCCATACTAACTGATCAGAAAGAATGGAGATTTATCAGTTCAGAGAAAAGAGGCTCTATCAGAAAAACAAACAGTAGAAGAATTCTTCATATGAAAGACAGATAAAAGGAACAAGCCTAGTGGATGAGAGTAAAAATCAGAAGCCAAAGACTAAGAAGTTATTCTATACTGTTGGAACTCAGAAATGGATTTCAAGCCTTTGCAGATGAAAAAGGCTATGAGCTTTCAAGGGTAGAAAAAGAGACACTGTAGAATATTTAGAACAAAGATAGAGAGGTTGTCACTGGGCCATATAAGAAGACAGAATTGAAACAAATATGTATCAGCTGGCCCCATTAACTTGTGAGGTGTGCTGTCTGCCAGGAGCAAGAATCAAGGACATGAGAGCACTTCCAGGATTTAACATGTCCAATGACAACTGAACCATCTGCCAACGAATACAGTATGGGGTCAAATGATACTGCAAAGAACAATTCTAACTGTATCACCAAGCCTTTGAAAATCTCAGAAGGAAGCTCAAGACCCTGTGGATTCAGGTGCTATTCTCATCCTTTCTTCCAGTTCATTGGAAAGGACTAGAAAGGAAAATAAGAATAATGCAAGTCCAGAGTTGGTTTCCAGATTGATAGAGACTCAGGAGACCATTATATTAAAAACCAACTGCAAATTTCCCCTTTATCAGTTCAGAGACCTGCCTCATTGCCTGTTAGAAAGTGCATCAGGAAGCCTCCACCCACATGTAAATGGAGATATATTAACTGTGAACTGCAGATGGTTCAATCGGTGGAATTCTTGTAACCCCTCCTAAGCACCTTGTAAAATCTAGCTAAAGAAAACTCTGTGAGAACTGTGCTTAAAAAAAACCTTACTTTCAGTTAAGGCAGTTGCCAAAGAGCCTGACAATGATGAGCTATGCAAACGGTGTTGATGGAAAAGAGTTTGTTTCTGGGACCATGGTCTAAGTTATCTAGACGATGGATTGCCAGCACAGCCCCAGAAGGAGTGGTAAAAATATGTTTGCCCAAGTTGTGAGAGCTAGTTCTGGCAGGTCAGAAGCAAACAGATTAGTTAGTCACTATAACAAGGGACAGATAGCTACCATTCCTCCTTCTCAGAAGTGTGAGGTCTCCTACCTTTTGCAACATGATGGTGGAAGAAAAAGGTGCAAAAATTGACCTTTGACAGAGCTTGCATTTTATAGAATCTGCATTTGCCCTTGAATCACTGCCTGTACAATTTTAAATTCTAGTGTCAGCCAAGAGAAGCCTGACACAAAGTACGGCTAACTTCATTTAATTTTAATTTTAAATTCATTTAAATTGATTGGGGGGGGTGGATAACTTCTGCTTAATGGATATTTGGAATGTGGCTGAAATAGGGCCTCTTAAATCAATCAAAGAAAAAACAGAATGAGCATTGAGTCATGATACTGGAGTTCTTGATTTAAGGGAATCTAAAACTGAGTTTACTCAAACAATTATCCTGATGTTCAAAAAAATGGGTTTTAATGAACTCAGAGCAATCACATGTAAGATACTGTGGCAGGAGAAGCTAATGGGAAAAGTTGCTCAGTATGAGTGGGAATTCCTAAAAAATTATATATCAAAAGTCCAATTGCAAACAGTTCTAATGAGGAGAAAAAATGAGACAGCAGAACAAACAAATGGGGCTACTGAAGAAAACTAAGTGAAGATCTGAAAACAGCACCAAAGACACACCCAGGAAATGGAAGGAAGATCACAAAAGAAGAGTCTCTGCAGCTTATCCAGGATGGTAGAGCTGGGATCAGGAAAGCAAAAATGGAGAATGAGTGGAGGCTAGTGAAAGATGCTAAGAATAATAAAAAGGATGAGTACTTAAGAAATGTTCCACGTAACAAGAAAAGGAGAATTGGTGTAGGAAGTGCTCAGTTAAGAAGACAAAATGTTAAAAGGAAGTATAGAAAAGTTGGAGTTGCTCAATTCCTACTTTTTGAGCTTTTTGTCTTTATTTGTCTTTTCTTTTGGTTATCTCTGGCAAAATATTGTGTATCCTACCAGAAACCGAGAAGGGCAGGATGAAGGGGCAGGGTTGAATCTTGAGACTGATAGAAACACGGTCTGGGAATATCTCTTCATTTTGAATGAGTTTAAATTTATAGAACCAGATGAATTGCTGATGATTTGGCCAAACCCTTACCTTTGAGAAATTCTGGAGAACTGATGAAATACTAGATGAATGAAGAAAAACAAATGCTGTCCACTTTCACAAAAGGGGGAAGGGGGAAAATATACCACAAACTACAAAACAGTCTAACATGAACACCTGGGAAGATTCTAAGAGCAGGTCAATCTGCAGGCATCTTGAAACCAATGAGGTAATTACCAGAAATCAGTATATGTTTGTCAAGAACAAATCTTCCCATTCTAGTCTTATCTCATTTTTTAAAAATATTGGGCAGCTTTCTTAAAAGATTGTGGGAATATTTAGGTATAATTTACCTTGATTTCAGCAAAGCATTTGACAAAGTACCTGAGGATATACCACTTTGCAGACTAGTTAAGGATGGCCTGAATAACATGATGATTAAGTGGATACATAGCTGTCTTGAAAACTGTACTCAGAGAGTACTCATCTGTGGTTCTTCATCAAATAAGAGTCAGTTTGGTCTAGTGGTTAAGGCATCAGGGTAGAAAGCAGGAAGTGGTGAGTTCTAGTCCTGCCTGAGGCATGAAAGCTGGCTGGGTGACTTTGAGCCAATCACCCTCTCTCAGCCCAGCCCACCTCACAGGGTTGCTGTTGTGGGGAAAATAGGAAGAGGAAGAATTATTAGGTATGTTTGCCACCTTGAGTTATTTACAAGAATAATAAAGGCAAGATAAAAAAAAAATCTAAAAAAAATCTAAAATCTAGAGAGTGGTATCAAATGGGCTGCCACTAGGATCAGTCCTCTACTCTTTATACTTTCATTAATGATTTGGATAAAGGAGAGGAAGGAGCGTTTATCAGATCTGCAGATAATACAAAATTGAATGGGATTAAGAATGATTCAGAGAAATTGGAACAAGTTAGAGGAGGGCAACAAAGATGACCAGGGACTAGAAATTAAGCCGCATGAAGAAAGATTGAAGGACTTGGGTATGTTTAGCCTTGAGAAAAGATGATTGAGGGAGGTATGATAGCATTCTTCGTTCACTGTGTTTAAGCAGCAAACAGCTATCTACCTGGAACGCTTTTGTTCTGGTTCCTGCACTGAGCAGTGGGGGTTGTCCCTTCCAACGTTATGATTCTATGAATCAGCTATGCAGGAAATAACATGGAAAACCAGACTTATCCACACTGGGATTTTTCTTAAATAGATTACAAATTTTGACTCATAACTAAACATGGAGATTATCTTTTGTTAGTATTTTTTCTTTTCTTTCCTTTTTTATATCTGTGATTGTTTGCTGTGACCTCATGCTATTCCCTCACTCTTCCTGAGATGGATCTTTCTGTTTTAAAATGTTCATACTAGTCAACAAAACTGAATTTAATAAATGCAAAGTTTCATATAAAGTGAAGCTATTTTCTCAAACAGGAAATGATGCAGTGGGCCATTTCTCCATTATAATAATAAACCAATTATGGTTGTGCCTTTCAGATATACTTATTAATTACACATGTCTTCTGTCTCTCCATTAAGAATCTTAGGTTTGGTATGTGTGACATTCCTCATTTTAATACCAGCCATAGGTTATCTTCAAAGGTGACATAATCATGACCTTTCATAAATCCATAGAATATGGGCTCAGGTTTCAAGCTGACTCCTGACCTAAGCATGCAACTTTTTCTTTGGAACATCCCCATAATGCCTGCTCTTGACGACCTGTGAACTGCCTTGCGCATTTAGCAGCCCTTCTCTCCCGTTCCCTTTCCCAAGGGAATGCTGAGTACAATTCTGTTATGGAAATGTTTTGGAATCAGTATCTTCACCTACTGTGATGACCTTTGGTCCAATCCAGTGACAATCTTGCACAGACCTGAACAATCAATTCCATTACAGACTCTAGATCCTCTAATTTGAAGAAAACCAATACAGGTTCTGCTGTAGCCCCTGTTATGCAGTGGTATTTAATTTTGCTGTAATAACTAATATAGTCCTTTCGTTCGGTGAGATTTAGTCACGGCTATTGACTTTTGCTGATCCGCACTTTGGGAAATGTGGGAAAGCTCTGCAGTGCAATTTTTCTTGAGATTGGCTTTTTACTTGCTTATCTAAGAACTTGCAACCACTGAAAATAGTATGCCTTTGGAGTTTCGGATATATATGTATTATATATATATATTATATCTCAAAATCTGAAGGTGCAGGGAACTGGAAATACCTGTCTCCAGTGGAGAATTGACACCCATTTTCTCTCGTGCTAGGTGAGATGAAACATGTCCTAAAGACTTCACAGAGCTTGTTACAGTCATGGATCCTCTGAATCATGTATGCCTCTCTCCTTCTGTCACGCTTGATCCTTGTGGACAGGGCAGATCAATAGGAGACACATGTTCCAGGATTGTCAGTAGGCCTAATGAATGTTTAAACTTCTGTGGGGGCTTTCTCTTTCCCCTGTCTCCCGCCCTCCCTTTTGGATTTTCTTTTAAGGTTGCCAGACTTATGAGGATCATCTGGCTTCCAGCCAAGAGGGAAACAAATCCAAAAATGTGGTGAACTTGGGAGCCATTCGGCAAGGCATGAAGCGGTTTCAGTTTCTCCTAAACTGCTGTGAACCAGGAACAATCCCTGATGCTTCTATCCTTGCAGCTGCTCTTGATCTCGTAAGTCCCTACACGCTCTTTTATGGGCTCTGTTTGCAATAATAAATCAATACCGAAGACTCTGGTTTGTGCTGAAGTATGGTAACTGCTGAAAGGGGGGGAGAGGAAAAAAACTAGGAAAGGATAGGGATACTAATGCTAAGCACAATGACTACTAAATTATTTTTTTATCCATCTGTAATTGTGTCTTTCATTTTATCAGATTTATGCTGCGCCTAATGAAAACAGTTCTTTCCTTATTCAGGCTCCACATGTCACGACTCTGCTTACTAAGCCTTTGTAAATGTTATGTTACTTATAACACTGACTACAGTCATTCCACAGAGGCATTAAGTTGATAGCATATGTTGATGCTATCAATAATTAGTGCAAACCATAGCTATGAGTCTCAGGTTATTCCCTGGGAGGTAAAGGGATAGCGATGTGAGGAAGCCTTCCCTGTATTCTGCTTTATGAGTTACTTATAGCCTGGGATTTGTGGATCCAAGGGCTAAATAATCCATGTCCAGCATAGATTGGAATCCAAAATGTCATTGCGCAAGCTACTTGGTCCTTTTTGCTTTCCTTTCATCTCATCCACCATTGAATGTTCCTCACCTATTGCTGATTTTGCAGTGATTGCCATTTAATATAGTACTTTATATTTAAAACCTTTTGTGTTGCATGATACGTTTTTGTAAATACTTCTATCTATGCATACACGTTCCCAGTCACTAGCATCCTCATGTCAGTAACTCCTTGGGGATACTTTTTGACTTATTTCTCAAGTTCTATTAGGAAGTAGCTAGATTTAGTTCTTTTGGGAAGACATTGGGAAAATGATGTATGGATTTTCCCTTTTGTACCTCCATGCCTCCCAGCTATGCTTTTATTGCCTTCTGTGTAATTGTACCAGTATTCTCACATCTCAACACATTACAGTAAGAGAAGTATAGGGGGAGAAGAATAAATGCTCCCTGGAAGGGTACCTTTTTGCTTCTTCTCTCTAATATAATTTCTCCCCAAAGAAATCTTACCTCTTGTTTGCTAAGCTTTATTTTGAAGGACCCACATACCAGCTCCCCAGTTCCAAAGCTTTCCCCACATAAGAGCAAAGCAATGAGATTAAGTTAATATGAGTGCTCAGACAAACACTTTTCTGGGCCTGGGACAAGCTTGCCTTCCTTGCCCCATGAAAGGGCTTTTCTGTTTTGAAAAGGTAGAGTATTGATTGGTATCCTTAGCTTCTTAAATTCCCTGACTCATATTTATAGTCAGGCAAATACCTCAATAATAGTTGTTTTTTAAGAATAATGCTCTGCCTGCAGGATCTGGAGCCATTTCTTTCCCTAGACATATTTTCTGGGCATTTGTGTGTCAGTCCCTGTATCTGAGGAGGTGGACTGGAGTTCCCTCCCTCCCTTTCTCTCTGTCTTAATTTCTTATTGCCTTCTACATGTGGAGGGCAATGGAAAAAAGTATGTCTGGTATCTGTAGAAGAGTTTCCAGCAGATTCACCATGGAAGCCCTCTGCAAGTCTCCTAGTATGAAAAAAACACATTCCTGATTACATAATATCTTTCCTAGAGAGGGCTTTTTTGTTATTTAGGACCTTGTTTCTTCATTGTGCTACTGCCTAGGAGGGTGTCCATCAAGGTAAGAGCCTCATTGGTGTAGCTACGCACTCTATGAAGAGGCAACAACAATTATTTGCAAGGGGCACGGGGAGGTCAAGCACCCACATGCCTAATTCCTCTCCTTGCTTGTACAGATGACACTTTTCAAATGTCTGAAGAGGGCTAGTGATTAAGTGAAATTCCTATGAACAACACAAGTTCCCATCACTTCTGGAATATTGGTATCCTTGATCACATGGTGCTTGTCCTTTCTTCCTGCAATGATCAGTAAGAGATTCTGCATCTTGCTGGCTTCTTATGCATATACATAGGAAATACCAGCAGGAACCCTCTGGCTTTAGGTTTTCAAGGGAACATGTTACATAGGGAGGAAAATATCTGTTTCCCAAAGTACAAGTCCTTGAGTTTTCGAGTCCTTGAGTTTTCTCTACAAGCACTTTCTGTGGAATGCCTACATCCACCCAGAAGGCTGCTTGTTTCAATCCAGCACTGATTCTCACTGACTCCAATGAATGCTGCAACTCTCTCAAGGTCTTGTAATAAGTCCATATATTCTGAAGAGTGAATTGCAAACTAACCTTAACTTTTCTTGTGATAATCAACCCCATCCCTAATTCTGGGGTTTACTCTGCCCTTTGACCAGTGTTGGATTCATCATTCAGAAGCCTTTTAGGATTATATGAAGCTGTGAAAGAAAATGGCAATTCTTATGTTGCTATCATTGTTTTCACCATCTTTAAGCTACATTGTACAAATACTGTCATAGCAGCAGGAGGCGTCTGTATAAGCGGATTATGAGGAAAATGTCCATCTTACTTGAATTTTGCAGCCATGTTTTGTTTGTTTTCTGTGGACAATGAAAGTGGTAACTTGTGGTTCTTTTCAGCTATGCATCTTGTGGCTAATTCATTTCTCTTCATTTGTGATGTGTTTCTCTGTGGTGTGAATTCATCCTTATCCATTCTGTCAAACATCTTCATCTTTCTCTTGCTGCTTCTTCAGATTGCTCTGGGCATAAGGTAAGCTACTGCAATGCATTTGCATAACGCTCTGAGATTCAGCATGTTGACTCTAAGTGTAATGTGTATAACATTTGTTTCATATTTAGTTGGGCCAACAGAAAACTACATCATGGATCCTCATCTGAGATAAGACTTGAGGTATAAGAGCTAGCTGAAGCAGATTATGCAATAAAGAACCAAGAGTTGATGTCGCTGATCACGTAGCACCTCTAGAGCTATAGAGACCAGCTAGACATTCCAGTCAAAACTATGTTCAGTTGAACAGAGCTGCCTACCTCTCTTTCATTAGAAAAAGCAGCCATGACTCCCTCACAATCCAGAGATGGGCCACTCCTGGTATGTGGGAGATGGATTTGTATTCAGAGTTCAGATTCATTTTCCCCATTTAATTTTAAAATTGGACGTTCCTTAAACTTTTAAATGCGTAAACATTGGCAGTTGCAGATTCTGTTGGAGCGCTAATATGGGGTGGTTGAGCACAGAATTGTGGGCAAAGGGGCCTCTTCTGATTGCACAGCATGACGGAACAGTAAATATAAACATTAATTTAAACTTGCTCTTGGTCTTACTGCACCCAAGGAGGTGTAAGAGAAAAGGATCTTTTCTATTTGCCCTTGTCTGTGACAGTGAAATTAGTTGACACAAAACAAGAACAACTACCATCTCTGGGGGAAAAAATCAGCTTTTTTTGGAGGCAAGGAGTAAATTCATATATTAATCAGGGAAGTTTAGAGAGAGAGAGAAAAAAAAGAAATACAGTGATTATTTACAGTGTGAGTTCATGTACTAATTAAAAAATATTGATTCCCATTCATTAATAGTTACATAAAAATTCAGGGCTCAGTTGAATATATGTATGAAAGCAGATATAAATCTGGTATCATGTTACCTGGATGACATAACAAAGGGTTGCAGCACAATGAGCACATGTATAAAACTGGATTATGTGGTTGTTTGCTGTGATGTGAATAACAGACCCTAGACCCTACTTCTCCTGATGTGTGCTATGTAATCATGCATTTCCTGGTCTGTGCCAGAGCTTGAAATGAGCTCTACTCATTTGCCAGTATAGATTGATTTGCAAATTCGATTTTGCAAATTTTAAAATAAATACTTGTATGGATTATAGAGATGGGAGAGAAATGCTTCAGTTTACATTTTAATTTGAACTTTCATTGAAGTTACCTAAATGCATTTCCCAGAACTATACACAAAACAGAACATATAATGCTTTGATATCTACACTGTTCCAGATTGTTTTTTGCTTTTTGAACAGGAACAAAAAATCATACTGAAATGTGTACAGTGATGGAATAATGTTCCAAAGTAGATTATAACTGAAGTATTATTTGAAAATGTGTATGTTTTGGAAAGTATATACAAAAATGTATATATTTGGGGAAATGCTTATGAAAATGCACATTAATTTTCATGTAAACTTTAATAAGTTAATAAACAAATGCAGACATGGGATGTTCCAAGTTAAATTTCAGTAGACCGATTGGTTTGTCCCTGGTAAAAGAGGGAAGGGATAATAACCAATGTACTTTTTGTTGTGCTGACAAATCGTGAGTTGGTATTACATAGAAATGAACTCATCTAATATTTCATTATCAAGGAAGTGGTAGCCCAGCGGTGAGTTTGAAGTACTACATATATTAGAACCAAATCTCTACAAAAAGTTCTGGATGACTTAGACATAATTTGTCTGTAAAATTTGCATTTTTAGAGAATCATTTGCCTTAAAACCAAAGGCATTAAAATTTGAATTATTTATTTATTTATAGTATATTTATTTATTTATCTTTAGTATTTTATTTTCGTATAAAAATAGTGCAAAAATATTAGCATATTTTCAGTGTCCTATGTTTAGAGAAATGGGACTTAATTATTGTTCTAGAAAATGTTTTGTTCTTCGAAAAGCCTTGCCACATAATACCTTCTCTTATACTGTTTAGATGAAGCCATTATTGTATGTCTCATATCACCAGTAAATTTTGAAAGAATTCCTCAGGTGCCGAGAGGGCCTCCCCTCGTTAACAGATGAAAGGCCTGATAGGTCCAAGTCACCTGTGATATTTGCTTCACTGACATTTGCTTGAGGCAGCGTTGTACATTCTTAAAAAAAGTCTTTGGCCCTGTTCTTTTCAGCGTGCTAGTTTTCTACGTCTCACAGACATTCTGGTAATGCGTTTTAGGAGGCACCGGTGGTGGCGCGGGCAGCCCTTTTCTTGGAATGTGCTCGCTTTGTGCATCGCTGCAACCGGGGCAACTGGCCAGAATGGATGAAGGGGCATCATGTGAACATTACTAAGAAAGGCCTTTCTCGTGGCCGCTCTCCAATCGTGGGGAATAAACGAAACCAGAAGTTACAGTGGCATGCAGCCAAGCTCTTCTATCAGTGGGGGGAAGTAAGTTTCAGTCCTTCCTCTCACCTTCCCTCCCTCCTTTTCCTACCATTCTGCAGCACTTCCGTTCCGTTCCGAATAATCCATGGGCTCTCTGATTTATACTAATCTATCTTCTTATAGTTTTGTTAGACACACCTTTTAGATAGCCTGAACAAAGTTATTTAAATGATTCCGTTTTTCTGTAACCATTTAGTCATCAGTTAAGATCAGTGGCTCAGGTGCTTTTCCAAGTTCCTCCACTATTAGAAAGGAATTAGATTTAACGGATCATCTACGCCATGGAACGGATGGAAACAGACAACCCCACAGATCAGGTTGGACTAACTGGGTTTGGGCTTGGCTCTGTACTTGTTCAAGTCAGTCTTTATGGTTTTAAATGTTTTGCTTTTACTCCCTCTCCACAGCAATGAAGCAAACTCAATTTTCTGTTTTATTTAATAAGATATTCAGAGATTTACAAGTTGCTGTCACAAAAACTCACTGATCAGAGTTAATTAAAAATGCAAAAAAAAAAGTTTGATCGTTACTTTTGCCTTAGGCAAGCCATTTTCTCTTCAGTATGAGGATAATAACATTTATCCAACTTATAGGGCTGTGGAAAGGATTATAGCAAGATGCTGAATGTTGAAGCACTTTGAATATTCTAAAGTATTACATAAAAGCTACATTTTGTTGTGGTATTTTTTCCAGATCTTTTGTTATGACATAATATAATCAACATGAATGCAAACTTCTGCAAACTCAGCGATGCAGCTGAGATTTTCTCCTTTAAGAAACCTTTATGACCCTTTGTTAATTCCATCCTTTTGGCAGGCAATTGGTGTCCGTCTCAACGAGCTTTGCCATTGTGAGAGTGAGAGCCCGGCCAATCTGCTGGGCCTCATTTATGATGAGGAGACCAAGAGAAGGCTGAGAAAGGAGGATGAGGAAGAAGACTTTTTAGATGACAGTAAGGAGACTCCCTTTACTACAAGAACCCCCACTTGTAAGAACCTCTCCTTTAGGAACACTTATTCTTTTTTCTTTTTCTTTCTTTTTTCTTTTAAAAATTTCTTTCTTTTGTTCCCTTTCCACCCACCAGTGTTTCACCACATTTTCTCTTTTCTTCCTCTTCAACTATCTGAACCTAGCTGTAATGCATTATGTAGTAGTAAATACATTAAAAAATGAGGGGGGCAGAATTAACCAGATGTGCTGCATTTTACGTAAATAAAACTTTAGCCACATTCAGGATCTTGTAGACTGAGTTGGGTGCATCTTCTCATCTGCATCCAATAATTACTGTACTTCCAGTAGCTCACTGGAGCCTACCCAGTTTTATAACGCAAATAGGTGCAGACATCTATCTGAATCTTCATTGACGGTTTGCTGGGGATTTGAAACTTCAGTTTCTGATATGATCCATTTTTATTTTTAAAAATTTATTTCTAAAAATTCTGTGCTCAGAGCAGTGTACACAGAAAAACCAGAAGATTTAAAACAACACAGTAGTAATAAAAATATAAATTACAATGATGCTGATTGACAGGGATAGGTAAGAAGTTAATTGGCTATCCTGATTGGTAACTATGGGAGTTGTAGAATAAGACATCTGCAGATCACGGGGTTAAGGAAAACTCTGCTTTAATATTATGCACTGTAGCAATAAGTATCATACTTACAATTACTTATAAGGTCAAGAAGACTGCATGTTAACACTTTTAAAAATCAGCATGGACAAGTAGAACACAACAATATAACTGTGGCAACATAAAATGTAGCTTAGTCTAACACAGAGAACAATGCTGTTTCCAAATATCATCTACATGTGTGTCTACTGTAATGCATTGATTTATATGTGTGTGTATTTGTACTGTTGTTTTTTTTCCTCTAAGCATGTTATCCATGAGAGTTTCTTGTAATTTTGTTGGATTTACTCTGCAAATACAGGTTGTAAAGACATTTAAGCTACCTAATGTTTGGATAGGACAGATTGTGGGCATCAGTTTCAGTTAGCAAGGACTGGCAATATACGGACTTTTCCTTGCTCAGATACAGCCTGAACCTTTTTATCTCTGTTAGCTGTCCAGAATTCTTCTGCTAGATGTGTGACTAAATAAATAAATAAATACATAAGAATGGGTACATGTATAAGTATAGAAGACTCTTTATACCTTGCTGTAGAGTAGAGTTAATGGGATTAGGAAAGTCTGCTTCTCAGTGAAGGAATGTAGAGAATAAAGAAGAATTTGTAAATCAGAGAGGAATAGGACTCCAGTATATGACATCTCACCTCAATGTATTTTAATTCTATCCTTCACAAATTCCATAACATTTCATAATTTTAATACACCAGGGTGTAGAGAATTGCCTCACTCACTGTTATGGCACACAATGTCATCATGTCCTGTTGCACTTCTTGTAAAGCATGAGGCACATAGATAGACTTACTAGCTACTTAATAACAGTTTTAGTAAAAAAAATATCTAGGATGAATTACAGTTTGTTCTAGTTTTTTATATATCTCTAGGATGACTTCAAGGGAGTGTTGAAGAAATGTAACTCTGTACTATCTAGATCAGGGGTGTCAAACTCAATTGCACAAGGGGCCAAAATCCAAAACACACTTTAGGTCGCGGGCTGAACAGGATAAACATTTATTGATCACACTAAAACTAAACTTTTAAAACTTTAAAACTTTTAAAACTTT